ACAAGGTTTAATTTTCATAAAAGAAGTGAGACCCAGTGAGGAAGGGACAGGGCGGGGTGCCGTGTCCGCCAGCCCTTCATTATCCCGGGTAGGTCAGGGCCCACGGTCCCACCTGTGAGTTATTTGTGGCCTTTGCAGCCCCAGGAAGCCGTGGATAATTCACTGAGTGATGATGTGGGAATTATAACCCGAAAGCACCCCCTCTGGGCCCATTCGGTGTGGGCTCCCCGTGGAGCCGGTGCTGAAGGAAATTTCCATTTTGCAAGCAGGTAAGTTCTGCACATCATCGTAATAGCAGGGCGGGTCAGTCAGATGATCATCAGCTGTAATTAGCGCTCCAGAGGCCGCAGGGTTCTTTATCTCCTCCTGGGCCGCGGGTAGAAAGGAAACGTCAGTTACTGGCACCGAAGGCGTGAGCGTTACATTGTTCCGTCTCAGCTGAGGAAGGTGCCCCTGGCAGAGGGCACGGCCGGACTGCAGGGCCACACCCCACCCGTGTCTGCGGGAGGTTCCTCACAAAGAGGAAAAGTGATGCCCAGTGAGACAAGCCAATCTGAGGAGGACGGATGTCACATGATCTCACTTACGGCGGCACCTAGTGCCCAAAAGGAACTGACCAACAAAATAAGACCCGAAGCAGGGAGGCGTGGAGCAGACGGACATGCCTGGATGTGGGGATGGGGGACGAGAAGAGAGAAACCACAGAACGTACAGACTTATAGGCAGGGCCCATGGACACGGGCAACGGGGTGGTGAAGACCTGGGGCCGGGGGCGGGGGGGAGAGTGTAAAGGAAAATGGGAGATATCTGTAACACAGTCAACATTAGAAAATTTAAAAATGTTACATTTTAAAAGAGAATAAAGGAAAAGTTGGAAATAAAAAGTAGGAGCGTGCGGACAAGCAGAGATGCCACAGGAAGCCCTGGGTTCCACATGGCAGGCGTGGAAGGACGGCTGTCCTGGGCACCAGGGGTGCAGTGTGCCGGGGGGGGGGGGGGGTGGGTGTGTGTGCGGGAGGCAGCTGATCCGATGCTTCTCTCTCATCGATGTTTATAACTCTCTCTGTATAAAATCAATAAAATATATGGAGGTGAGATAGGACGTCACTCCTGTGCCTGGTCCGTGGGACAGTACCTTCACACAGGCTTTCTGACAAGGTCAGGGCTATCCTTCAGGCTTCGTGGGCCTGTAGTGGGTGTCACCACCTCCCGGCAGCGCACCAGCCACAGGAGAGCGGGTGTGTGTTCACCACGTTCAGTTTAGGGCCCAGGCAGTGGAGTTAGAATCGGCCTCGAGTGCGAAAGGAGGAAGAAAACGTCTCTTTCCTGGTTCTGCTCTTGGAACCCTCGGTGGTCGGACCCGTGAATATGGACTCACAGTAGGTTTCCTTGAGGCTCAACCAGGAAACCTACTATGTGCGGGGATGTTGCCCAAATAACACCTACCACGCAGCTCCTGTAAGACCACACAGGCATGCGTTAGACGTGTACACAGGTGTCTCTGCTGTGAGGTACAGACCTCGAAGTCCTAACCATTGATCATTTACTCTTCAAACGTAAATGATTTTGCCCTGGCCGGTTTTGTTCAGTGGTTAGAGCATCGGCCAAAGGGTCTCAGGTTCGATTCCTGGTCAAGGGCACTCATCCTTTTTCTTATTTAAAACATTTTCGTTTTCCTCTTTGGGGCGAAAGTAGGAGGCAACCAATCAATGTGTCTCCAACGCATCAATGTTCCTCTCTCCCCTCCCCAACCTTTCCAGTCTCTAAAAATCAATGGAAAAAAATATTCTCACGAGCAGGTAGGAGGCAACCACTAAATGTGTCTCTAACGCATCAATGTTTCTCTCTCCCCCGCCACCAACCTGTTGTAGGTTTTTTATGTCCTGTGTCCCTGACCCTCCCCCATGCGGCTCATTGTGTGAGGATTAAAAAAAAAAGTAAATGATTTCCAGCTTGCGGCATTGTTGTAGGTTTTTAATATGTCCTGTGTCCCTGACCCTCCCCCATGCGGCATCCTCTGTGAGCCTCAGAGCCAAGCGCTCTTCCCAATCCTGTAAACCAGTAACAGCAGCCCGAACGCGCCCCGGGGAGCCGCCACACCCTTTAAATGCACCTTCTTTCAAAGGAGTGCACCTTCCCCCAAATGGCTCCACAGCCAATGCCCAAGTTGCCTGGACAGTTTTGCCCAACTGCCATTTTCTTCCGACAGAATTTCCTCTAGAAATGGCCCACCCAAAGGGTTACATCTCCCTCGCAATGGAATTTATGACGGAGGTGAGGTGCCCCCATTAAGTGTCAGTGGTATTTGTGTCTATGGATCTCCAGGCAAACGCTCCGGTGTCATATTTCGTGTTAAGTGACCGGCCTCGTGCATAAGTGACCAGGGGGGGACTGTGGCCGCGGGAAGGATGGTACCCATCATGCATTGCTCTGTAGAAGCCCACGTCCAGCAATTCACTTTGTAAATGTGTGGCTTGGAGGGTAAAACCCTTTGTTCTCTAATAAAAAATGTCTCATGTCCCTGAGATGCATGTAGCGTTGTTACCAGGAAGCCCAGGGGCCAGGTGGCTTTTGCATAACGTTTGTGATTTACACAAGAGGTTTTGTAAAGTTTAGCTTGTCTGAGGATATAAAATTATCGTTTTTAGCGTAGCATTGTATTTATCATCAGACACAAAATTACATGGAAAAGTCTCCTGATGACTTGACGTATATTTTATTGGGTGGAATACAACCGACGTTCACCGCTAAGGCAGGTTTTTATTCGTCTGAGGGACTGGCAGCGGGTGTGTGTTACTGTATCAGAATGCAGTAAATCACGTGGCTTTCTAATGCTTTCCGTCGGGGAGAGGGCCTGTGTGTTCACGCATCCTGCGGGCCATCCCTGCAGCAGGGCAGGCCTCGGGGGCGTGAGTGCATCTCCCTCTCTCCCTTGTTTCATTGATGAGGGTGCTGGGCTCCTGCCCCGTCAATTAGCTGCCGGGAGGGGGTTCCCTAAATGGGACATTTCCCCTTCTCTGTGGTGGGGCTCTCAATAGGCTTGTGCTGTTTGACTCTGGGATGCTCACCTGTTGGGGCGTGTCCGGGGGGCAGGTACCAGGAACCTCGGACCCTGGGTGGAGGTGAGGGGATCGTCGGTGGAAGTTGGCATCACAGACAGTTCTGTGAAGGGAGGTCATGGAAAAGGACGTTGCCTCCAGGCCCAAGGGGAGGCGCTGGGTTTACACACACAGCAGGTCTCTACTGTCCTCCTGTCCTTCAACACCTGTTCCTCCCCCGGGAAACTGTCCCCTCTCCTGCCCCTGGAGCCGCAGCAGCTGTGGCCTGCCCGTCCACGCGGTCCCACTGTCCCTGGTGGTCGGACCTGCTGGCCCCTCCACTGAATGGAAGGGCCCTTCACTGGGGCCTCCAGGGCTCCGGGACATGTTTGGACTTACTGTCCATTAAATGTATCTTGGTTACAGACATTTTGTCAGGACTATATGGGTCTGTGGTGACCCATATATTTTCTTTTGGAGAAGCATTAGCATAATGAACCGCTGCAATGAGGTTAATAAAATCCTCAGAGAAAATAGAGCCACCAAAGAAGGGATCTGATAATCCAGGAGAAAGTCATTTCTTTGGACCCTGATGTTTAAGAAAACACTCAGATTTAACGGTAGGAGGGAGGTAGTAGCATAAATGTATTATTCATTAGCTCGATACATGTGTATTGAGGACTGCTACATGTGTTTGGATGATTCATTGTGCTGATTGGCTGGGAGTGAGGCAGGCAGGAGAAGAACTGACATCACTTGTTACCGGGCGGGGGGAGGACAGACCAGGAAATAGGTGATCCCATGCCAACTGACACCTTTTTTAGGGGACGCGGGTGTCTAGTCACCCTGAGTAGGACCAGAGCCGGTGACTCCTCACTCTGGCACGGAGCTTTGAAAACCACGGGGAAGTGTCCACAGCAGAACGGGGTGGGTGTGGAAAGGGAGGGAGCAGGGGGCAGACCAAGGAGAGGATGTCACCAGCTCAGGCTCCTGTGACGCCCAGGCTCTGAGTGGGACTGCACCAGTTGGGGTCTCAGACTCAAGTGTTTTTGCATTACTCCTGGGGCCACTGCAGAGGGCGGAGCGTTCTAGGCCGGGAAAGGCCATGATGGGATTGGTGACAAGGAGAGAGCATGAATGGGTTGGATGGACACACAAAGGGTCCAGACTGAAGCAGAGAGACCTGAGGGGGGTGGGGGATGTCTGGAAAGGCAGTGACATTGACACTGGTACCTGGTGCCACCGGAACGCTGATCTGGCCCGGCCGTGTGGCTCAGTGGATTGAGCTTCGCCTCATGCACCGGGAGGTCATGGTTCCATTCTGAGTCAGGGCACATGCCTAGGCTGTGGGCTTGATCCCCAGTAGGGGCCGTGCAGGAGGCAGCCAATCCATGTTTCTCTCTCTCATTGATGTTTCTCTATCCTTCTCCCTTACTCTTTCTCTAAAATCAATAAAAAATTCAAAAAAGAATGCTGATCAGCCCTAGCAGGTGTGACCCACGGCGAAGAGCATCGGTCCGCACACCAAAGGCTCCGGGCTCGATCCCCCTTCAAGGGCAGGGGTGCGCAGGAGGTACGCTGAGGTGTCACTGAGTTGTGATTCAGTCCTTGGCCCTGGGCGGGGAGCATGCAGGAGGTAATCGATCCATGTGTCTCTCTCACATCAATGATTCTCTCTTTTCTGTCTCTCCCTCCCTCGCCGTCCCTCCCTCCATTCTACTCTCCCTAAATATCAATGGAAAAAATATCCTCAGGTGAGGATTAACAACAACAACAACAAAGGAAAGAATGCTAAAGAGGGGTCCTCCATCTCAGCCCAGAGTGGACGCCCAGGGGTCCCGTAGCGGCCTCTCTTCGTGACCTGCCCCAGAAACACTCTGTGTAGAAAAGGTGGCTTGTACATTCTTAACATGGAAACTTTCCTTGATAATAGAATGTTTTTCTCCCCAAAACTTCTCTTAGAACTATCGTATGCGTGGATCTTCAATGAATACCCTTCCTTTGTTGAGGAGGATGGCCGGAGGTTCATCTCTCAGGAGACAGGCCACCTCTATGTAGCCAAGGTGGAGCCGTCCGACGTCGGGAACTACACGTGCGTGGTGACGAGCGTGGTGACCGCCGCCAGGGTGCTGGGCTCCCCGACGCCGCTGATGCTGCGCGCCGACGGTAGGAAACTCGGGTGGAAATGTGGTGAATCCAAGCAAAAACTCACGGGGAGAGTGAGAAGTGTATCTCGAAGAATTACCGTTGCATTTGTTTCAGAACAAGAAATGTTTTCTAGCACAGGGACCACAATGACTCCATAAACCACGGGTCTCTGCGCACAGTCCTCACGCAGGGCCCCCTTCAGAATTTGCAGAATGAAAACGAGGGGCCTGGTGTTCCAAAGTGATTAACTCTGGATGGTGACCCCGTTAAACCAGGCACAGAGCCCCTTAGCCTGGGACCGTGCTGCTCCCCACGAAGTCCTCTGTCCTCACCCTCGCCAGCTTAAGGCACTTTGTTACAAGCTAAAAGTTCTCTATAAGAAAAGAAAAACGTGCACATTAGGTCCCCAAAATGTATGCATCATACAGCTGAAAGTTTGTACCCTTTTAAAAAATATATTTTTTAATTGATTCAGAGAAGAAGAGAGAGGGAGAGATAGAAGCATCAATGATGAGAGAGAAGCACTGGTCGGCTGCCTCCTGCACGCCCCCTACTGGGGATCGAGCCCACAACCAGGCAATGCCCTGCCCAGGAATCAAACCATGACCTTCTGGCTCATAGGTCCATGCTCAACCCCTGAGCCACCCTTTGATAATGTGTCATTTTGTCTGCCACCAGGAGCGTGGTGATGATAACTCACAGCACTGTGTTGTGTCCTTGGAATTAGCTTAGAGAGCAGATGTTAAGTGCCCTCATCACACACAAAAAATAACAAAAAAGCGGTATCCATGGGAGGGTCTCTATGTGCTACCTTGACTGAGATAATCATTTCACAAGATGTACATATATTAAATCATCACATTGTACACTAGAAGAAGTCTAAATGTGTACAACACTAGAGGCCTGGCGCATAAATTTGTGCACTTGGGGGCGTCCCTCAGCCCAACCTATATATGCCCTCTCACAGTCCAGGAGCTCTTGGGGAATGTCCGACTGACAGGCAGTGGGACCAAACAGGCATTTGGACATCCTTAGTGCTGCCACAGAGGCAGGAGAGGCTCCCGCCACTGCTGCTACGCTTGCCAGCTGTGAGCCTGGCTCAGGGCTTCTGGCTGAGTGCTGCTCCCCCTGTGGGAGCGCACTGACCACAAGGAGGCAGCTTCTGCATTGAGCGTCTGCCTTCTGGTGGTCAGTGCGGGTCATAGCGACCGGTCATTCCGCCATTCAGTTGATTTGCATATTAGCCTTTTATTATATAGGATATTTACCACGCAACCCAAAGAGAAACAGTATTTCTTTGTCAATCATACCTCAGTAAAGCTGGGGAAATAATGTTTCATTATCTCCTCCATGGCTGTTTCAAGGGAGCCCATGAGCTGCAGAGGAAGCAGATATGTAAGCCTGAGACACCGCCCACTTATTAGTACACAAAACCATCTCTGATGCAGCCCAGTGCCAGGACCACAGTTACCCAAGCCCTCTTCCTAGTCTGTTATAATTGCTCACGTCCTTTCCCAGTTTTTACATTACTGTTTCCTTTTGGCAGGGATCCACTTACTAACTCGGTCTGAGCTACCAGGGCACCACTAAGTAACTTTCCTCCCATAATTTTTGCTCTTCGTGGTATGTCAAGAAGTCAGGACGCCTTGTGTATTTCAGTTTGACCGGGAATGTCCTAATGGGGCAGACGATACCAAAGCCACCCATTTTCTGCAAGGAAAACCCATGGCGGTTTTCTCAGAACCGTTCCGTACACGGTAGCTTAGGAACCTGGGAATCCGAGGATGCTTACTCATGTAGCCCATGCGGCCCGAGTCAGCTCGGCGTCCGAACCTGCTAATGGGCGGGAAGTGAGTCATTGCCATCCCTGGGAGACGCTCGTCCCAGAGGCAGGAAGAGAACGCTGTCTTGGAGGGAAAGGGGCCGGTTCCCAAGGAAACGGTGAAACCGTGCGATCTGCATTGTGGCTTTACAGGTGTGATGGGCGAATATGAACCGAAAATAGAAGTTCAGTTTCCAGAAACTCTTCCAGCCGCGAAAGGGTCCACCGTGAGGCTGGAATGCTTCGCCCTCGGGAAGTAAGTTCTGTCGCCTGCCTTCCTTCCGATGTGCTGAGCTGCAGGTGCCGTACGGGATCCACATGGTTTATGACGGACTCTTCTTTGCCTTATTTTCTTTCTTTCATTTGGAAGCAAAAGAAAAATAAAGCACAGGGAATGTGCATGTATCATTTGCTGTGAAACTCTGAAGCAGCGGTTCTCAACCTGTGGGTCGCGACCATCGGAAAACACATATAGCATATCAGATATTTACATGACGATTCATAACAGTAGGAAAGTTACAGTTATGAAGTAGCAACGAAAATAATTTGATGGTTGGGGCTCACCACAACATGAGGAACTGTATTAAGGGGCCACGGCATTAGGAAGGTTGAGAGCCACTGTGAGTCCAAAGGCGTCTGCCTGACTTTGTAAAGAACTGGTGTTATGTTTCTTTTCCTCGTTCCTATCATCATGCAGTGGGTAGGTTAGACCTTTTACCCCAAATCATGAGTTCACGCAGGAAAACACAGCACGTATGTTATTGCCCTGGGAACTGAAGAGGTCGGACTAGGCACCAGGTGTGTAATTGACAAGGCCAGAAACCCGTTGTCTTTTTCTGGATCCAACCCAAAGCTGTGCTTGTTCCAGGCTTCAGTTTACGATAGCAGCTAACGCGCCGCGTTCCCTCGCAGCCCCGTGCCCCGGATCACTTGGAGGAGGAGTGACGGGCGGCCTTTCCCCAGGAAAATTAACGTGCGGAAGTTCGGAGGTGTGCTGGAGATCCCCGGCTTCGAGCAGGAGGACGCAGGCTCCTACGAGTGCCTCGCCGAGAATTCCCGAGGGAGAAACGTGGCCCGGGGGCGTCTCACTTACTACGGTAGGTGTCCCCGTGGTCGGTGTCCCTGTCCCCGTGGGCCAGTGGGAGTGGGAACTTCTCTCTTACCAAACTCTGAAGTGGGCGGGGCGAGAGGCCATGGCAGAATCCAGGGTTCAACTTGATCTCCATTTTGTGAAGTCAGGATGAATATCATAAAAGGGGTTGAAAAGACATAGAAGTCTGCAGTTGGAGGCATTTTAAAATGCATTTCTCTGCATTTTGAAATGATTCCTATGATCTCTATATATAAAAGCTTAGCGACCGTCTGACCATTCAACCATTTGACCGGTAGCTATGAGGCGCACTGATCACCAGGGGGCAGATGCTCAACACACAGGCATGGAAACATGGAACAGACTGATGAATCTCAGAGGGAAGGGGGCAGGGGAGAGGGCGGGAAGAAATTAACCAAATTTGTGTACCGATGGGGCCCCTGGGCCTGGCCCTTGGCTTAGAAGTGACCGTGGCCACCTCCCCCTCAATATGGAAACGTTGATGAATCCGTGGGGTCGGGACGGAGGGGATGAAACAGCATCCGGCTCAGCGCTCACGTCCGTCTGTGGCTCTGTCTTGTGCCCGTGGGCATTTCCGTGGAGAGCGTATTTATCCTTTCCTCGGCTGGGGGTTGACGCATTCCTTCCCTTGCAGCCAAGCCTCACTGGGTCCAGCTCATCGGCGACGTGGAGGCCGCGGTGGAGGAGAGCCTGCGCTGGGATTGCCGGGCCGGCGGGAAGCCCAAGCCCTCCTACCGGTGGCTGAGGAACGGGGAGGCCCTGGCGCTGGAGGTGAGGCCCGTCCCGGGGCATCCGCCCTCTGTCCCTCTGTCCCTCTGTCCCTGTGTCCCTGTGTGAGGAGCGGTGCAGGTGGAAACCCCATCACTACCAGGAGAGTGACCTCACATTGCATTTCATGGGGAAAGACTAAGAAGTAGCTTATAAATCTCACATTTTGCCCTTTGCCTTTTTAAGAAATATATTTTTTTATTGATTTCAGAGAGGAAGGGAAAGGGAGAGAGAGATAGAAACATCAGTGATGAGAGAGAATCATTGATTAGCTGCCTCCTGCACGCCCCACACTGGGATCAAGCCCCCACAACCCACATGTGCCCTGATTGGGAATCACGCCGTGACCCCCTGGTTCATAGGTTGATGCTCAACTGCTGAGCCACACGGGCCAAGCCCCAGAACACTTTTTAATGCGCAGAATGTATAATGTCTTTAATCAACATGATTTTTTTTAAAATGGTGAAAACCTTTGCAGTTGAGGAGATGGAAAGCTTGTGACATTTTTAAGGGTCTTTAATGTTAAAAATCGCTCTCTCTCTCTCTCTCTCTCTCCCTTTCTCTTCCTTTCTGAAATCAATAAACAATATATGTACTTTAAAAGCATTCTGGAAGAGTAAGTGGTGGCAGCATTTTACCTCTTTCTTTGTTACTTGCAGATATACTTAAGGAAGAGTTAAATGGTGGCAACATTCTACCTTCCCTTGTTACTTACGGATATCCTTTCGGACTGAAATGCTTGTTAGTATTTCCGTGCATGGCTCTCACACTAATCATTCCCACATTTTCAAATGAAGAAGAGTTTAGATTTCAAGGCAGGTTGCCTGGTCACCTGAGGACACGAAGGAGGATCTTGTGAAGACGTTGTCGTCAGCCCTGGCTGGGTGTGCTCCGTTCATGGAGCGTCGGCCTGCAGACGGCAGGGTCCCTGGTTCAGTTTCAGTCAAGGGCACGTTACCTGGGTTGTCGGTTCAGTCCCAGCCCAGTCGGGGCACCTGTGGGAGGCAACCAGTCAATGTGTCTCTCTCACGTCGATATTTCTCTCTCTGTGTGTGTCTCTCCCCCTCCCTTCCACTCTCTCTAAAAACCAATGGGAACAATGAAAATAAATAAATAAAAAATCAACAGAAAAAATATCCTTGGGGAGGATTATCCAAAAAAAAAAAAGTTCCACTGCTCTGAAGCGGTGGGGTGGACACGCTGACCTTGGGGAGGTCTTGGTGTCCACGCAGGAGCGGATCCAGCTGGAGAACGGCGCCCTGAGCATTGTGAACCTGAGCGTGGCGGACGCGGGCATGTTCCAGTGCGTGGCGGAGAACAAGCACGGCCTCGCCTACTCCAGCGCCGAGCTCCGGGTGCTGGGTGAGGCCCCCTTCTCTTCTCGTTATTTTCCCTAAACCCCCCACTTTGCCAGAAGCAGAAATACTTTTTTTTTTAATTTATTTTTCTTGATTCCAGAGGGGAAGGGAGAGGGAGAGATCGAAACATCCATGGTGAGAGAGAATCATGGATCGGCTGCCTCCTGCACACCCCACACTGGAAATCAAGCCCTCAACCCGGGCACGTGCCCTGACCGGCAGTCGAACCGTGACCTCCTGGTCAATCTGTCAATGTTCAACCACTGAGCCATGCCGGCCGGGCAGAAATACTTATTTTTATATCCCCACATCTGATAACATGTACGGTTTTCCCGGGGAGTGGGTCGGGGTTTCTCAACAAGGCCTACGCCCTGGTGGCTTCTGTATTTTTAACCTGAGTCCTGTTCCTCCCTCCACTCCAGCCTCCGCCCCAGACTTCTCCGCGACTCCCATGAGGAAGCTGGTGCGGGCGCAGGTGGGCAGCGTGGTGGGCCTGGACTGCCGGCCCCGAGCCGCCCCCCGGGCCGTGTGCTCCTGGAAAAGAGGCGAGGTGACCGTGCGGGAGGATGGAAGGTATTGGCTTGGTTTCCTCCCACTTTCCACGGGGAGACCTGCGGGCCTCAGACACTATGGAAGAGGCAGTTATTTTACCTGCAAGACGGGTTGCTCCGGAATAGCAGGGGGATGCCCTGGGGACTGGGACTGGGGTGCAATCTCCCCGCTCATAGTCAAGGAGCTGGACTTGACCTAGAGGAGGAGGAGGGGGCGGAGCCTTTGGAGGAGCTGGGGTGGTCACAGCATCCTGGGGCGGGGCTAATGTCACAGGAGCTCAGCCAGAGGTGCAGGTGAGGACTGACAGGTGGGGTGTTCTGCTGGCCAGGAGGATCCCTTCCCTCCTCCGCTGCCCTGGTCTGTCCTCCTCTTTGGGGTCCAGGTGGCAGAGCAGGACAGCGCCCCCTTCAGGCCAGCTGGCTCCATTTCCAATGAGGATTCCATCCTTCATTTTCCACATTTTGACTAGGTTTTCAGTAGGAGGTGAGACGCAGCCGCATTTCAACACAACGGGAGGTGTTTCAGGACCAGGGTAGCCTGTTTTGTTCTGTAATCCCCTCCTGATGATAGTAGCCGGCCCTGGAATCTAAAAATAGCGCTCTCTCCCTCTTTGCCGAGAGGACTTTATCTTAGACAGGACTTTCCCTCCTGTCCTCCTGAGTCTCCGAGAGGCAGAGCCGTGTTGAAGATGCCAGCGTTGCCCTCAGGTGGGGAGAGCGCCTCAGGCTCAGGGAATAGCGGTTAGTTCCCAGCCGAGGTCTCCGAAGAGCTGCTCTGAGCAGATAACAGGCTTACAGTGCAGAGAGCGACCCAGGCCCTCAGCATTAAGTGCTCATTCTTCCATTTGGAAATATTTTGAGGACCAGCTACAGGCTAGTGACTAGCCGCTAGTCACTAGGTATTTAGTCTTTGTTTAAATATGTTTTCATTGATTTCAGAGAAGAAGGGAGGGGGGGAGAGTGATGGAAACATCAGTGATGAGAGAGAATCCTTGCTGGGCTGCCTCCTGCACACCCCCCACTGGGGATCGAGCCCACAACCCGGGCAGGTGCCCTGAGTGGAATCAAACCGTGACCTCCTGGTTCATAGGTCGATGCTCAACCACTGAGCCATGCCGGCCGGGCGAGGTGTTTATCACACACATCACTCCCCTTGTTCTCAACCTCTTGGAGTCTGTGAAGGTGACACAGGGGTCACAGGGGCGCCCACTTGGGGAAGAGCAGGATGCTCTGTGATTCCCCGAGAAGGCCTGTCTGCATGTGAGGGAGCAGGAGCAGGTTTTCTGGGGGACTCGGGTCAGTGAGACCGGAGAGGTGACAAGGGTTCTTGAAGAAGTGTGCCAGGCGTGGAGAACAGCACATGTGGGGCAAAGAGGCCTCGGCCGCCTGGGCATTGCTTTGCAGTGATGAAGGCTCTCTCTCTCTCTCTCTCTCTCTCTCTCTCTCTCTCTCTCTCTCTCTCGTTCACTGAACCTCAGATCCTTCAGTCCACAAGCCGACGCTCAATCTGTTGCGCCAAACCAGTCACGGCTCTTTGAGGGAAGATAAAATGGGCTCAAAAAGAATTGTTTGTCAATTGAGGGGTTATTTTAAAGCACTTGCAGTGATGAAGGCCCTCTCGCTCTCTCTCTCTCTCTCTCTCTCTCTCTCTCTCTCTCTCTCGTTCACTGAACCTCAGATCCTTCAGTCCACAAGCCGACGCTCAATCTGTTGCGCCAAACCAGTCACGGCTCTTTGAGGGAAGATAAAATGGGCTCAAAAAGAATTGTTTGTCAATTGAGGGGTTATTTTAAAGCAAATACATGAACCTGGTGAAAGGGAGAAAGACTGAGGAGGAAGTGTGACCCTTTCATACAGTTCCTCATGTGGTGACCCCCAATTTCATTGTTACAAATTGAACATAATTAAAGCATAGTGACTAATCACAAAAACAATATGCAATTATATATGTGTTGCCCAGCCATCGTGGCTCAGTGGTTGAGCATTGACCTATGACTTAAGAGGTCACGATTCGATTCCTAGTCAAGGCTCCTGAAAACATGGCCTTCAGGAATAATCCTATCTCAGAAATCTACTTAGGAAAGTATATTGTTTTCTAACCACTATGCTGTAACCTGGAAACTAGTACAAAATTAATATTGAATGTAAACTGCAATTGAAAAAAAAGTTTCAAAAAGTAAAAAAAAAAAAGAAAGAAATCTACTTAGGAACCAAGAAGCCAAAGGATGATTCTGTCCTCTCTGTTCTCCCTTACGTTATGCAATAAACATTCTCCTCTCTATCCAGTTTTAATGGTGGAATAGATGCAGAATTAAAAACAAATTAGTTATCAAGAAGAAAAAATATATCAGATGAGATTTCAAAATATAATTCTTATCCATAGGCATAAAAACAGTGGGGAAATGTCATTATTGTTGTTACTACTATTATTAAATGACTGCTTCTTGGGAGCTTGGATATCAACATTGAGAAAACTCAAAAAAAAAACAAAAAAATAAAAATCAATGGGGAAATATCCTCTGGTGAGGATTAACAACAGAACATCGGTGCGGTGGCCATGGGGAGCGTGGATGGGGATGGAGATGCCCAGTTAGCAGCAAACTAAGGAAATGGCCGTGAACAGAGAGGAGGTTCTGGAGGGAGGTCGGATCAGCAGGACCTCCGAGAGGATGGGGTTCATGATTTGCAGAAGCGAGAAGATAGGAAGGAGTCAAAGGTGACTCCTCAGTTTCCAGTGTGGGCACCAGGCGGTGCATGGAAGACGTGGTCAGGGAGACGGAAGGTTCCAGAAGGAGCCGGCAGGGGCCGGGAGTGCACGTTCATCTGGGGCTGGCTGCGTGTGCAGTGGGTGTGGAAGAACCCGCTGGGTGTGTGTGCACACCTGGAGAGTCATTGGACACACCGGGACCTGGGAGAGGGCTGAGCCGGGAGGTGGGAGCCGTGAGCAGGCGGACGGCCGCGGGAACCGCGCGGTGAGCCAGGTGCTCTCGGCGGGCACCCAGCACCTGTCGGCACATGGGCGGGTCTGCCTCTCACCTGGGAGGTGGGTGGAAACGTAAATGTTGAGTGGAGGATGCCTGCTTTACAATCCCATTTAAAGGGCTGACGGTTACCATGGATACTAGTAAGTAATTCATGTATTAAGTCAACTCAAGTCAACGGTCAGCGTGACTCACCTGGTGGACAGGTGCACTAAACGTGGAAATCACTGGTGTCCACATGGAGCGAAGTTGTTTTGTTTTGTTTGGGGATGTTCCTGCCGTTTATTTTCTCGGTGTGCCGCCCCCTGTCGGTCGAGAAGCAGTGCCGCCCCTCTCCCTGCAGGAGGCGCGTGCTCTGTGCTCTGAGCCCAGTGACGCCTGACCCACACGCCCTCCCCGCCCCACCCAGCGTCCCAGGTCTCAGGACGCGTCAGTGTCTCCGAGCTGTGGCATTGACCCATTTTCTCAAACCCACAAGTTTCCAAGACCGGAATGAAGATGGGGGGGCGGGGGGGGGACTGTTCTCCTTTAAGCAAAGTAAACTTGAAAAAGCCCGGGCAGTGCAAACAGGCGCCGTCAGCAAGAAGAAGCCTCCTGTTGGCACATTGGAACGGCTGCTGGGCTTCCCGTGTCCCCGGGTAGCCTTTAAAATGCATTAGCCAATTATTTTTTTTTAATGGGGCTTTCACCTGAGTGCCGCTGCTGATCACGGTAGATGCTTTACTGCAACGGCTTTCATTCAGAGGCGAGGCGAAGGATGGCCCATTATTTCTAATTAAACACATTAAAATTGTTTTATGTTCTATGCGGCATTTAATGTAGACATTTAAATGCTCCTAAAAGGAGGAAATGGTAAAGATTTCTTTCAAATATCAGTGACCGTGATGCCGACAGTGTTTTTAAAACATATTAACCCATTCTCGGTGTATTTTTTGCATATAGTTAGCAGGTGGCTGTTAGAATGCATTCAGCATTATAGGCTGGGGGTGCCATATCGATGACATTCCTGGAAAAGGCACAGCTTTGGGGACAGAGAACAGCGGTCCTTGCTTGCGGAGCTGAGCGTGAGTGGAGAGGGTGACTGTCGGGGTCAAGGGGGGGGGGGAAGCTGAGGGTGTTGGGGTGAGGGAATTCTTCTAAGGTTGGGTTGTGACATGGTTACACAGGCTCATGGATTTGTTCAAGCTCAGACCTGCACACCAACGCGGCTCACTAAGACCGCATGCAGGTACCCGAATTTCCTTAAAATCTTGCTTGCAGTTTTACACTCGTCTCATCCCAAGTTCATGAGCAGCTTCAGGTCCTTTAAAAACGCGAGAGATGCGGGTCCCCTTTGCCTTCGGGGACACATGGCATCTCCCATCCAGTGAGGTCCCGTCGGAGCAGCATCTAAACTCCCGCCCTGACAAGCACAGGCTGCTGACGTGTGTGCGCGCGCCTGTGTGTGGGTCTGTTGAATGCCTACGTGTCTGCGCGCCTGTGTGTGGGTCTGTTGAATGCCTCCGTGTGTGCGCGTGCCTGTGTGTGGGTCTGTGCACGTGCTCCTCCCTGTGCCCGTTACTCCCTGGGCCGGTGAAGGGAACGGAGAGCTGTATTTGCTTTTTGGTTTCACTTCAGCCCGTGGAGAGAGAGGAGCAGCCACGTGTGACGTTAGTTGGACACGTCGCTCAGCCCGGAGTCTTGGTGCCTCTGCTTGTGACACGGGCCCGGAAGCCCTGCGTCTCGGCGTTCTGCTTGGTGCCATTTGCTTGGCACATGCTCTTAGCGAGAGGTTGGCTCAACTCCTGGCCTCCCCTGACCGGCACGGAAAGGACAGCGTTTCCTTTGGGCAAATTGCTCCCAACGCTGTCCCTGCCCGTGTCTCTCCCAGCCCGGACGCCCCTCTCCTGACCTCAGGAGTCGCCCAGGTCAAACTGGACTGGTTTCTGTGGGGCACCCACGCTGGCGGCTTTCCCACGGGGTCTCCGGCGTGGGCCCGGCAGCGGCCGAGGTTGTTTCTAATACTAACCTTTCTCACCGTGTTGCCCAGATACTTAAAAGTAAGTAGCGAGACTGGGTTCAAAAGGAGAGAGATGGGAAATGAGAAAAGACCTTTCTAAATTTTTTTACAACAATCAATTGAGTTTTCCATTATTTAAACCTTAATAAATAAATTCCACCCAAATATTATTAAAGAAACTGCTGCTTTCATGTGGCTTCTAAAATCCTATCAGCTACAATTTGCAGGTCACCATGCGGTTGTTAAATCTATATTTCAAATACGACTTTTTATGGATTATGAACGTGAAGGCCACGTTTAAAATACTTTGCCGATGCTGTGGTTCCCGCTGGGAGAGCTGGTTAACGCATCTACTTCACACCAGTTTCTTGTTCAAACTTGATACGTTACTTTGTAAACAGGCCCAGCATCACAGTTTCACCTGCTGGGTGTGTCTCCCCAGATCTCGGAAGCCCCAAATCCCACGAGCAGCCCGACACCCCCTCACTGAGAATGCAAAGAAAAGCACGGTGATGCAGTTGTGGCGTCCCTGCAGACTGCCTTTGCTCTTTTCTGCGAATATGTTGAGGAAGGAACAGGTTCTTTCTCTGGAAGTAGAAACACTGACTGTTGTAACTCCATCAAGAGACACTCCGCGAGGGCGCGGTGCTGCCTGTGAATTCTCGCCGAAAGGAAGGAGGGGGAAGCTGAGTGCTCACTGCCGTTTCCTGGGCTGCAGTTTCTTCTCAGCCTAAGAAACCCGGCTTCCACTGCAGCCCGGCTCCTTGTTACCCGCCGGGGTCCCCTTTCCAAGCCCCAGGGCAGGGCTCGCTGGACTTACTTCCCTGTCGCTCCTGCGGTCCTTGGCCACGCGTGTCCTGTGACAGTGTGTGAAGGGAGT